GGGCACCACCCACATGGCCAGACCCCTGTGCAGGGAGAGCCGCCAGCAGCTGGAGGTTGAAAAGGTGACGAGGGCCTTTGGGGACAGCAAGTGAAGGACACACCGCTCCAGGACAACACTTCCCTTTGCACACAGAAGCCTTCTTAGGTGAGCGTCCAGCCGGTCCGTGCCAGTGCCGCTCGCACAAAGCAGCCGCTGTGCGCGGGCCGCCAGCAGCTCATAAAGACCCCGTTATGCACGCGCGGCCAGCGCGGCCGCTGGCTCCGCTCGCCATTTCCTGGGGCTCGGCGCCGCCGCTTTGCTGGAGGAGGGGGACAAGCCCCCCCAGGGACAGCAGAGCTGCGGGCTGGGCTGGTGGGACTGGCCGTGCTGCGTCATGAACATCTGCAGCTGGGCTGTGCCGAGCAAGAGGCTGGGGATGCAAAGTTGAGAATGATAAGGGTAAATATTTATTCCTGCAGCCAAGCTGGGCACCCCGAATGTGGTTTTGCACAAGGTTCTTACACCCCTCAACCACTCAGGTATAAAACGATTTGAATGATCACTGCCACCCACGCTACTGATGAAGGGTGATAGGAAATCTTTGCGAAGCAACGATAATTCTGCAGCGTTCTTGCTGCTTGTCTATTGATCCAGACATCCCCGGAGTTAAATTTTCCAGAGTTACTGCTTTATGACAACAGACGATGCTGGGAGGGTTTCAAAGCTGTGTCAGGGGTTGGAACTGGATGGTCTTTAAGGTCCCTTCCAACTCATCCCATTCTGTGATTCAGAAGGGCTGGGACACTGGTGTTATCTCGGTTGATCCAGGGAATGCTTTATCCTTCATGGACAACTGGAAGCTTCCCAGAAGGAAAATTCTTCTTTCCCGGGCTGGGCTGTCTTTTAGTTTGTTTTACTGAAACAAACATTCCAGGTCAGGTTGGACGGCGCTCTGAGTGACCTGATCTGGTTGAAGATGTCCCTGTCACTGCAGGGGGGTTGGACTGGATGAGCTTGAAAGGTCCCTTCAACCCAAATAATTTCATGATTTTCTGATTCTAAGGTCAACTGCCAGCAATCACAAGCAACCACAGTGTATAATTATAAATACAGAAAGCTCCTTGTTTTACTTAAGCACAAACAATACCAGAATGTCCAGTAAAATTCCGCTACCTCATTACATCGCAGTGTATAATCGCCATGTATATTCATATATATTAAGATAATACATATTAAGAAAGTTAATATGTTTTCATACTATAAAGATTGGTTGATATAATAGTGAAGGGAACTTTGCTGACAGATTTTAGGGAGGGGGATGGTTGACTCCACCTCATAACCAGCCTCTTATCCTTCCACTATCCTTCTCCTCCCAGAGACTCCTCAGCTGGAAAATCTTTTTTCTTTTTTTTTTTTTTTTTTTTTTTTTTTTTTTTTTTTTTTTTTTTTTTTTTCTTTTCGTAAATACAACTCTGACCACCTGGAAAGTCTTTATTTTATTTATTTATTTTTTTAACATAAAAACCCAATCAGCATTACCAGCAATGCTGAAGGGCTGGGGGGAGAAGGGTCCCCTCAGAGGGTTGAGGCAGGTGGTGGCCGGGTCATCCCCGGGTGTGGGGGTCTCGCTGGGCGCTGGGGGCCTGGGGGCCCAGCCAGGTCCCCACACCCGGGCTCCCGTGGGGGGAAACCCCGCTCCCCCCGCCTCCATCGCGGCCTGAGCGATCGCTCCCGGCCATTTTGTCCCCTTCGCCCCGCCGTAGCCCCATCCGTTGCCATGGCGACAGGCCCAGCGGCCTGTTTGGAAGCGCCGGGAGGTGCCGTACAGGCCTCAGCCGAAGGCCCCCGCTCGTTTCCTGGCTATGAAGCGGGTACGGGACCGTTCTCAGCCGTTTTTGCGGGGAGAAGGTGAGGAAAAGGAGGTGGTGGAGGGTAGAGGGAGGGGTCTTGGCTGGTTCTTCACAGCGTGGCTGGCTGGGAACTTGCTGGTCAGGCACCGGGTCCGGTGCCCAGCACTTGGCTCTTTGCCCACAGAGGTGAACCTGATAGCTACCGGCTGACTTAACTAGTTAACTAGTAAAGTTAACAACCAGCGTCAACTCGGTTAGCTCTCTTCTGAGTAAGCCCTGATGGTGACTTCATGCCCAGCTTTTTGTGGTCGGTGCTTTCTGTAGCTGGGTAAAAAGGACTGTCAAACACACCCCCAGCGTAGGACACCCCACCAGCACGGGGAGATGATATATGCACGAGTTTCTTCACCTATAACTTTGTTTTTCGTCAGTATCGGTGGATAATCAGTGCATCAGCTCCAAGAGAAGCCCTGGAGAAAGGAAAGGCAAAGGGAACTTTGCTTCTGAAACGGGACAGACAAAGCGTGACGCTTCCTTCCTTCCTTCCTTCCTGAGAGTCTATTGCCAGGCAGACACCGCTGTGGGATGACTGCAGCCTCAGGGACAGTTCAGCCAGGTGGTCGCTTATGCTCCTTTAACCACAGAATCATCCCAGGCTGGTTTGGGTTGGAAGGGACCTTAAAGCTCATCCAGTCCCAGCCCCCCTGCCAGCAGCAGGGACACCTTCCACTAGACCAGGTTGCTCAAAGCCTCATCCAGCCTGGCCGAGAACACTTTTTTTTTTTTTAGTCACAATTCACCCCGTAAAAAGTTCTATCAAATTGTGCGAAACTTTTGGCATTAAATATCTTAATGTTAAAAACATCTGGTGTTATAAAACAGTAAAGTCTTGCAGCAAAATGAGGATTCCAGTGTCTGGGTGGGCCTGGCTTCCTGGGCCAGACTTTTATTAGGAGAAAGGAGAAACTTGGGATTTTCTTCAAATAATTGGAGTGGTTTTTGTAACAAGTAGCTCAAAGTGATGCTCAAGCAAGTTTTCAGCAACCTAATGAGAAAAGTATCACGTGATTAGTAGCCATTTCTCATCATTGATGAGCCAGTTGCCATGTAGCGATTTAAACTATGAAATCAGGCAGATTCTGCTAATTTCCTCAAAGACTGAAGTTAGGAAATTTATTTTCCAGCCTGCTTGTTGATAAGACTGTGCTGATGAGCATAAATTACTTTCTTTTGTCTTCTTACCCACTAGTTCTCTATCAGATGACCCCAAAAGACATTTCCAGCCCCTTGCCTAGGACTGAGGCGGGACTGTTGGTGTACCAAGATCTGAATTGTTCTGCTCGCTCTTTCAGCTTGCTGTCTTCCAGCCCTTCAGCATCTTTTTGGTACTGGAACCATTATCAAAAATACCTCAAGTGAGCTAGAGGCCTCCTCCTTTCCTTTCAGCATGCTTGTGTGCGAGTTAATCAGGCTAATTGAAATTGCTCATCCCAAATAGATGTTAATTTAACATCCTCTTTAGTTACTAAGGAGCAGTGAGCATGGTGCAGAGGTACCTTGAGTCAGCTCAGGTCCAGCAGAGCTTCTTTGTGCCGGTTTTACAATGCTGTACTCACCACTATCTGTGGTACCCGAGCTTCCGTGAAGCAGAGCATCCCCTCTCTGTTGTTAAAAGCTCATCCTGGCTCCGCAGCAAGCGAAAAGCAACAACTAATGATCCAACACCAACTGAACGAAGGAGAATTGCTTCTGAGCTTGTAGCTGCTGTGCAAACAGGGATCATAAACATCAAGAGCTTTCCAGGTTGTGATCAGTAACTCATCTTGACAGTTGAATCTTGCTTTCTCCTGCCAGGAGTCCAGACATTGCAGGACAGCTGAATGATCGAGCTGCTTCCTGCATGGATGTCCTGCATACGTAACTTTCTGTTTTGTTCTTCTAGCAACAGTCTGCTTTATACTTGTATTGTGGAGCAACTCCTGCTTCCTTTCCTCTTTTTGTCATTAAATTATCAGTTCACTTTTTCAGCTTCTGGTCTTTCCACTTTGTTGCTGACAAAGGAGTCTCTGTTTTTTCTTGGATGCTGTGTAGTGCTAAATTGCAGTTCCAGACCACGTGCACCAGTGGGGCCACTCGCTCTTGCTACACTTCTCTGTGCTAGCTGGAAGGAAAACGTGTCTGAGAGAGGTGAAAGCATTGGTTCTGCTGTCATCCCCGACAGCATTCTGACAGGAACACGTCCCCGGGCCACAGCAAATACTCTGTCGCCAAACTGCCACCAAAGTAACCACTTTGCACATTTTACTCAATTTAAGTCTTTCCTCAGATGTGTCTTTTTAGTCTCTCCAGCTTTCTGTCCACCTTGGAGCATATCTTCAGGAGCAGCGCTCAGTCACAGTATTTTTGTATCACGTATTTTTTCTTTTCTGTATTTGATTTCTATAGATGAATATCTGCAACAAACCTCCTAACAAGGTAGCTCCAGAGAATTTGGATGAAGCTGTTGCTGAGGTGCCGGTCCAACGTGCTCGAAGGAATGGCTGGAGCTGGCCTCTGCACCTTTTCCAGGTTACTGCCTGGCTGCTCTACCTTTTCTTTGCGCTGGTTGGCTTTGGAATCCTGGTTCCTCTCCTGCCCCGCCACTGGCTGGCCGCTGGCTATATCGTATCCTTTGGTCAAGAGGAGAACATGGACTGTGATCAACTGTCAGTGGGATTTTTTAAAATTAGCTTTTAGGTGGCATAGAAAGCAACTGACCCAGAGTCTTTTTCTGAACTATAACCTTAATCTTCTCCTGTCTATAAAAAAACCACTTATTTTGCAATCCTCTCTGCCCTTTCACTTTAGGAGGGTCACTAATGTTCTGCTTGTCTCCTTCATCCCTCTCTGCTAAGGTGACTGTCTTTATCTCCAAGGCTCTTCTGCTGTCTTCTTCTGCCTGTGTGTTTCCTTTGCCTTGTATGATTCTTCTATGAGTGTGCTGCAGGGTTTGAGGGAAGTCGTGTTGAAAAAGCCCCTCCTGACCCAGCCTCGCCTTGATGGGCAGCCACACCTCCCTGTGCTGACTGACTGAGTCCTGAAAGGCAGCTCTGTGTGTTTATGGCTATTATACGGTGTGGGTGCTTGTGATAGCTGGCAGTGGATCTTAGAATCATAGAATCATAGAATCATAGATTCATAGAATCATAGAATCATAGAATCATGGAATGGTGTGGGTTGGAGGGGCCATTTCAAGCTCATCCAGTCCAACCCCCTGCAGTGACAGGGACATCTTCAACCAGGTCAGGTCACTCAGAGCCCCATCCAACCTGACCTGGAATGTTTCCAGGGATGGGGCTTCTCCCACCTCTCTGGGTGACCCGGGCCAGGGTTTCACCACCCTTACTACTACATTGAGAAGTTAGAATCCAAGCAGATAATATTTCAAGAAACAATGACAAGTCCTAGATACTGTCTGTAAATTGTGTAGGAGCCTGCTTTAGAGGGGTGGTCCCCTTGCTTGGGATTCTGAGTAAGGAAGAGGAAAGCAAGGTGATCAGTACAAGTTCCTTGATATGATTTTTTTTCTCTTTTTTGGAAGTTTAGTCTTGTGAAGGGGTGTGTGCACAGCTTTAACTGACTGTTCCTTTCCAAGGAGTCTGTATGGACTGAGAAACATGGACCTACGCTAGCAGTCTGCACGTGGGGCCAGATTCTGGTGAGTAAAGGTAATTTTTAAAAACTCCTGTGCTAGGAAGGACATTTCTGTGAGGCAGAGTAGTACATAATAAGGAGGGTTGTTCCTGTAGATTTAGATATCTTTTTCCAGAGGATATTAATTACAGTGCAAGCATTTCCGTTAATAAAGCTCATTAATATGCTGCAATCAGTTATATAGTAATTTCTAATTCTATGTCATATATTTCCCATCTGTGTGGGCTTTGTGTATTAAAGATAAAAATATAAGCATTAAATCACTCATACAATCCTTAACTGTGTACTTCAGTGTCCGGGGGTGTGTTTTATCTACCATTTAGTTGTTCATCTTAGTGCAGTCTCCATTGATCCTGCGGATGCAAATGTGAGAGAAAAAAACTATCTAGGGCCTCTGGCCAACTTCAGTCGTAATCAACACGCACATGTCATTGAAAACCATCATTGCCATGTCTGTGATGTAGATGTGTAAGTATCTTCTCTTTTCCTTCTACTACTCTCTCCTCTTCACCATTGCACGTCACCGTCAGTCTCTAATGTTAGACTGCGCAGTGGAAACGGAGCCCTGAAGCTCCATAGCACGAGTTCAGCCTTGTCCTGTGGCAGAGTTCTGTTGGCTGGGAGGGTGCCTGCTGTCTAACGTGTGCTTGGTTCCATGTTTTATTTAATTGCTCACGCGTTGTGTGGAGAGGACTCTGCTGTTCTGTGTTACCCAGATGTTGGTGTTTGACCTAACAACGTGTAGCTCGTGCGTGTGTGCTTGTATCCAGCTAGATGCTGACACGGCAGCAGGAAACACTCAGAGGGCAGACACTAAGATCAAACTTTGTACAACTGCTGAAGGGTTTCAACTAAGAAATCGGTGACCTCCAAATTAGGAATCACGAATTTCGCAGTGTGTGGGATCCACCGGTGGCCGATATGGCTGATGAGTTTGGGTGTTGAAGTGTTCCTGATGCAGAAGGTTTTCTCACAGTTACCAAGATCTCTGCTGCTTTATCCCCCTGTATTTGTGTCATCGGGAAGTCACGGTAATGAGCTGGTGCTGCCATGCTAATGCCACCCTTTCTTTGGCAGGAGTGCCAAGTCAAAGCACTGTGGAACTTGCAACAAATGTGTGTGTGGCTTTGATCACCACTGCAAATGGTTCAACAACTGTGTGGGAGAGAGGAATTACTGGTAAGAGCCTGGCATTGTGGCAGGAGCACAACAGTGCATCAGTAACGTCGCCCCTTCTCTTCCCAAGCTTCTCCTGCGTCTCAGCCCAGTCTGTGCTCAGCTACATAGAACCATTTTTCTTTCAGAATCCGGCTGAATAAAATCAGTCATGAGAAAACTAGATGGAAAATGCAAGCGTGGTTATGACATTTAAATAACCAGGGATAAAACTCCTACACTTAGAATTTTGTAGCTGGGTGTCTATGAGTAAAAACAGAGAACATATAATCTCATTATTTGGTATTAGGAAAAGCTTATGGGATGTTAGCTGAGTGTCCTTAATGCTTCTGAGACCTGGAATGGGAATAGAATCTCCTGGTTGGAAAAGAGCTCTGAGATCATCGGGTTCAACCATACCTGTCCACTACTGAACCATATATAGAACCACGATCGTGCTATTCCCATCTCTGAAACGTCCTGCATCCAGGTTGCACACCACCAGACTTGCCAGCTGGCAGGAGTTACTGCAGCCTAAAGGCACCTCTCGTCCGTGCCGGGTTTAAGATAAAGAATAAAGAGATTATCACTGATTATTGCTTCTCGGTTTACTTTCCTTCACTGGAACCACAGGGAAAGCCAAGAGTTGTTAGTGCTCGGTGCCATGTTGCACTGCCTTGAGACACTTTGCAGGGAGCTCTTTGTCTGTCCCAGATACTCTTGACTGGTTGCTCCTAAGGGTCACAGTTTAATCCCTCAGGGTAACAAATCAGAACTAAGACTGTTAATTGGTATCTATTGTAAGTGTAAGAGAGCACTTATGGACCTGTTAGAACGAGTGCAGAGGAGGCCACGAGGATGATGCGAGGGCTGGAGCAGCTCTGCTGTGAGGACAGGCTGAGAGAGTTGGGGCTGTTCAGCCTGGAGAAGAGAAGGCTCCGGGGAGACCTTCTAGTGGCCTCCCAGTACCTGAAGGGGCTCCAGGAAGGCTGG